ACCAGCGCAAGCGGTGCGACGGATGTGCACGCCCTGCATCGCCTTGTCCAATTGTCCATAAATGTCCTGCATTAGAGGCCCCAGAGTCGAATAGAAGCGGCTTTCTAGCTGGCTGACTTGACGATCAATGCTATGTGGTTTGAAACATAACCGACTTCTCGGTCTGACTGCTTGTTATTATATGCTGTGACATGAATGCCAGTGGATGTTGGTACAGGAGCCCTACATAATAGAGGAGCTGGTTGGACGATGCATGCAGCCCAGGGGTGTTCATGCAGGCAGTGGATTTTGGGGCCTGCAGGAAGGGCAAGGACTGCCACATTCTTTTCTCATGAGACCAGATAGAAGAGACAAGATATGGGAGAGAAGACAGAAGAGAAGAGAGAAGACAGAGAATGGCCAAGGGTCTGTTCCGTGCAGAGAGGCGGGCGGTTGTAGATGTCTACGAGGGCATAGACAATTATACGCAGCGCCGCCTCAGCTATCTACGTATGGATAGATAGCTGCTTCGGGGTGGTATCAATCATAAATTAACACATAAGTCTAGTCGTAGGTCTATCTCGGCCTCCTCAACAAATGGAACAAGTACACAGTAGTAGGTAGTAACGGTGGTGGCCTGCCTCAGCCAGCCTTATACTGGATCCCTGCTGCCTCTCATATAGCAGTGATCTTTGACTCAGTCCACGCCGAGTCAGTGCAACATGGATTAACATAGCAAACTCCCTGGCGAGCGTGGTGGGAGCAGAAGGGAGAAGAAAAAAAAAAAGAGTACATAAGAGACAGGTCATATGGAGGGAGAATAAACGAAAAAAGAAAACACACGATAACACAAGCGCGAGCTATCATACGCATTTCGTCGAAGATACAAAAAAGATTGCTGTGATCCAGCGATGGTCAAGGTTGGAGTCCAGATGAGCTAGGGAGTCGTAGCAAGATGGTTGGTTAGAGCGTGCAGTATGGTGTATGTCCAAGGAGGGTTTGTGGAAGGGAAATTGAGCAAAGGTTGGCTATATTTCTTCTCTGAGGCCGCAGAGATCGGTTCCCAGTACCATGTCGACCATGTGCCAGAATCGCCAGTAGAGGTTCGACTTTTGATCGTCAAACGAGCCATCTTCTCGCAGAGCAGGCCCGTCGCCGACGATGTCTCCCGTGAACCAACTCAGAATTGGTATCGACCGGAGCACTCGTTCCGTCATCGAGGGCTGGGGAGGAAGGGCTTCTGAAGCTGGACGCACAACTGCCCGTCGAACCGTGGGTATATGGGTCATAAATTCAGATTTGGCTGGTTTCGCTTCGGCTTCGGGTTCCGGTTGAGACCGGCCCGGTCGCTGGCGAAGAGTGTCCGCGTCCATATTGTTCTGTCCCATGACTGTGGCAGAGCTGGCCGTTGCTGTAGATTGAACGGACGCAGGGGCCTCAAAACTATTACTTTGAGTATATGAAAATGAGCGGGGCAGAGATGAGCGATCATATTCGTTTGACTGCAGTAGTGATGCAGATGTGGATGGCTTGAGGGATGGATAGATCGAGTTGAGCCGCGACTGCAGCTCAAGGGTTGCTTTGAGTATAGGGGCGTCTTCCTGCGGCCCGTGGCCATGGTACATCTCGCAGTGTACGAGACAGCCGTCAATTTCTTGGGGAGAGAAGTGACAGGCTCTATCAGCAGCTATGAAAGAGTCAAAGGTCACTTTGATCCAGTGTGCTCCTCCGGCATATCTTTTTGATTTCCTGTTGGCATCGGCTGAAAGTTTCGGACGGATAACGACGTCACCTCCGCTAAGCAATTGAGGGTACTTGGGGTTGATCTCAGGATCGGTCCGGGAATAGTCTTCGCAGATATAGCCCAGTGAGATGCGTTCGAACTTGTCGATAACCTTCCACTCAACACCCTTATCTTTGTACCCGTAAAGTATACATTCGGTCGCAACAGCATCTCCCGGTGTTCTGCTAGTCGCTGCATCATTCGAAGCTGTGTTGTTGGCTGCGAGTAATTTCTGCTGCGCTTCTTCCTCTTGCTGCAGACTAAACAGTCTGCCGAACTCTGCAACATTCGGGTTCTCTCGCTTCGCTGGAGTCCCTGTTCGTGTAGCTGATCTGGTCGAGCCATATCGTGTATTCCTTCTTTTGCCAAACGGGCCTGTCTCTTCTGGCGGTCGTCGAGGGTTACGGGATTCACTGTTTGCTAGCGTTAGCCATTATGCCATTTTCAAAGGGCTTAACCGGGTTCCAAGTCGCAAAACAACAGGCCAAGGTAGCTCATTTAGCATATTCAGGCCGTGTTATGGAGTGCTAGGGGTGGCTTACTCCTTGTAAACATATCCCCATGGCAGTGTGTTCCCTTTCTCATCCTTCGCGCGCTCCTCGAGCGGCACAGAGTGGTATTCCATGGCGCTTGATTAAATGACCAAGAGACCCAGCCTATGCGATGTTTTGGTGACTCACTGCCGGCAATGCCTACCAAGCAACAGAAGCAAAGCTGCTGCGTTGCGATGCTGAAGCTGTCGAAAGCTCTAACGCTCTTGTTTAATATTTATTTTATTATTTTTATTTTTTTTATTTTAATGACGTCGGGAGCCTCCCACGTGATGTTGATTAGTCATAAATTATTAGTTATATATTAGTCATCGCTGGCGGTTTGACTTTTTCCGACGCTTTTGCACTTTCTATCGCTTTCTCGCATTTTTTTCCCTCCTTCTGCTTGTGACCTCAAAAAGTTCTGTTTGCCATTATCTTAAGAGATCAAAGGCTCGCCTTCTTCGGCCTGAAGAAATCAGCAAATTCACTCTGCTCTACTATGTTCATACTCGAATCGAACCTTATCCTCGATTTCAACACAGCTGACCAATAGAAACTTGTTCCACTGCCCCGCTCACCTGAACCTACGCTGCGACCAAGCGGCTCCAACGCTGGATATCTACAGAATGCTACAGAATGATAACCAGAAGGATAACCAGAGCAGAGATACATCGTACTACAGAGTACAGCTGCTAGAATATTGCTTTTCTCAACTTTTTATCTGGGTACTGAAGCAAAAACTGTTGAACCGATGGATGTCTCAGTACACTAAAGAGAGCAGCATGTATACATGGGGAGAGATGGTTAACTGCGTGCAAACGGGATACCTTTCTTGCCAATTGAAGGCGTCAATCGCGCTCTATATTCAGTTAAAGGCGGCATCAACATGAACCAGCTGGGCCAGCAGCATGACAGACAAACTAGAAAATAACAAGCCAACCGAGGATTCAATCCATTTCACATCCTGGCATTGACTGCCATACTATATAATCGAAAGGGGTCAGCTTATTTTGGAATACCATGCATCAAAGCCACGTGGGTCAACAGCCAGCTTAGCAGGCCAGTTGGATAACCCCCCAAGGCTGGAAGCTCATGGTGATTTTCTGTGGCCAAATGGGCCAGTTGACTAGTGGATATGATTCCCAACACTATATATGCCATGCCTGGTGAGTGAGAATGAAGAATAATATAGCACAGTTGCAATTACAGATCAACCCACAATCCGTCTTCTCCAACATCATCCGGAGTCTCTATAATCCGGGTATCTGGATACTGGAATCAGGGAGACATCTACAGTTGCCGTGCCGCTCGAGACAAAACTGTTCAGTGAAGGAAGGTCTATCTGCACTGACTACTAGAATGAAAAAATGGCTCAAGGCTCCCAAAAGGCCCATTCCATGAGACCGAACAAAAGCTACTGAACTGGTACAAACAAGAGCATAAGTTTCTAAAGCTTGTAGAAGCTATTGGGTGCAGCAAGTGCCTCAATCTAAATTCAGATGAGCATAAAGTGTTGACCAGAATCCTGCCATAAGAGTGTAGATGGTGTTGATTCTAAAGTCTATAGCCTCATGTCGCTGCTGTAAGAGCTGGAAGACAGGTCATATATATCCTCAAAGTGCTCGTCCACTCCATCTAAGTCCGTTATGATGACATCATCCCCAATATCCATTCGTACACTATCTGACTCGTCTGTCTCGGCCGCTTTTCAATATCTGTGAATGGAGATGAGTGGTCAGATTCAAGGGCTTCTCTTCCCTTACCATATCCGTATCTAGGTCCATCTGACTTCATTGATATCCCCAGACCAACCATATATAAGGTTTCAAGAGGCTTTAATGCAGGGTCAGACATCGAATTTTGAGCAACGTGGCTGAAGCAATTGGTACTAGTCTTGGTGGCTTTGATATCAAGGCTCCCTTTCTCATGTCATTTGGAAAAGGTGCAGTTGAGCCTCGTTTTACATTGGGATATGCGGTGAACGCCTTCAAATTGGAGTGTTCCCTAACCAGCCACACCTTTCCAACTGGCCCAAGTACAAGGTACATTCTGGAGCATGTAGCCATATAGATTGCAAGTAATCACTGGTATTTTGCTACTTTATCAACATAGCTAACTCCTATCAAGTCACTGAAGGAGCAGTGCAATCAGAGTGACATCCCCAGCCCTAACTGACGGATAAGTGTAAGCAACCGGACAGACTAGAGGAGACAGTGTGATTAGTTCGGCAAAGAGGTAGTGGATGAGAGAAAAGGCATATGTGCTGCCGTGAGGCATGTAACCAATCTTTAAGAACTAACACAAAGACGCAAAACGGGCGACAAGAAAAAGCAAGCCGAGTAGCCGAGTAAGGAACATAAAGAGAGAGAAAAAAGGAATAACTCCAAAAAGAAGAAGAAGAAAATTAAATAAGACAAGGATACAAAAGTCGGCACTGGTATCAAGAAGATCGGGAAAACAAGCAACGAGGGCGCAGATAATGAGGAACGGGGGGGGAAGAGGGAAGAAGAAAAACGAGGACTAAACATGCAAATGGATGAAGAAAAATGAGCTATCTACAAGGCTTAGAAGAAAAACCACATATCATACTAAGTGATATGGTACGATGGAGTTCATGTCCTGTCAGTCCATCTGGTGTACTCCGTAGAAACACCGTTGAGTGCCGGGATGTGATTGGATCCGCGAGGATCGGGATATCGGTTTAGATGCTAGAAGGGAATGAGAAGAAGACGAGCAAAAAAAAAGAAGAAGAAGAAGGGGGGAAATACAATGACCACGGGATGGCAGAGAAGCGAAGGTCAGGGGGAAAAACTGCAGGCAAGGCAGAAATGAGTGGGAAAAGCCAGTTGGGGAAAAAGAAAGAAAAACGGATGATAGGAAAAAGAAAGAAAGAAAAATGAAGAGTCGTATCGACGTGAAGCGAAGAATTAGCGCTAGGTCTGGCATGTCGGAATGGAAGGGGAAAAAAGAAGAACAGGGTGCGGATGACCATCCAGCAGTCGGAGAAACATGGTGAGAACGAGGATGCGCATTCGATATCGATGCGAGTCCGGGTAGGGGGAAGTGAAGCAGTAAAGTCGATGGGCCAAAATGTAGCCAGAGGGGGAGGGATGGTGAATAAACGAATATAAACTTGGTAGCCGTTCCGTCGTAGTCATCGTACAGAAGATTGGAGATAGATTAAAAAAAAGGGCGCAATTTGTATAAGGCACTGCGCCCTGGGGAGTCGTAACTGCGTCTTTCTCGTCAGGTCACATATCAAGAAGCTCAGAAAGAATAAAGCAAAAAGTGCAAGTAAAAACAATGGAAGAAGTAGACCGAGATGTGAGGATGTGGTGGTATGTTTGCTGGTGTAGATTGGACGTTCAAAATTTGGTCGTGGTCATATAGGGTCGGATGGTGACTATCAGCGTCTCCGTCGCTGAGCGCTGTCGAGCCGATTATCGAGAGATTCCACCCGCGAGCGAAACGACTTTACTATATCTCTGATGCGCCGGATCTTGTCAAATTCCGTCTCTAGCTCGTCGATGGAGAGGATTATCTGTCTGACTCGTGCGATCTCCTTATCGGCGTCTGCAACGACGTTGCCGGCCTGGTCATAGGTATTCTGTATCGATATCTCAGATTGCTCGTTCAACTGATGCCCGTTAGCCACCTATACCTAGAAATTCTATGCAGCCATATAGATAGTATTCCATAGTAACAAAAGGAGAACATACGTAGTCAATCCTCCGCTGGATGTCCCTCATGAGGTGGTCGAGCTGGTAGTAGAGGGCCTGCAGGCTGTCTGGATCCAGGAGCAGTCTCCCCTGCGTGCTGGCGGCGCTGGCAGCCCTCGAGCTGGCGTTGCTATTCCTCGCCATCCCCCTCCCCTTGCGATGCTGCCATTATGGCTCCCTTGCAATGCGATCTGCTGCTGGTGGACAACCATCTGCCACTCAGACGACGTGAGGCCAAGACGGGCATCGGGAATAGACGTTGATACGGACATTGGGGATGGGCCTGGTATATCAGAGACATGCTCCTCAAAACATAGAGACGCCGTCAGGGAGCTGGATCAAGACTGATATGTGGCAGAGGACGCCGTTCATGGTGGATGGGAAGAAGGAAGGGCGAGAAGCGTTGCGAGGGATAAGCGGCCGCCGCGGACAGCACCGTCGACGCTCGACTCCAGCCGGCGAAGGGAGTCGGGTTTTTCGGCTTCACGAGAGTTGTTTTCACGCTGTTTACCCGCTGGTCTCGCTGTCTCTTGAGATATCTGGGCTCGAGGCGGAGAGGACGACGGGGGGGAGGACGCAAAGAGGCAGCAGAGGCGGCGAAGATACAGACACGGCCGGCGGACACTAACTAGCTGGCGGGCTATGGAATAACACTCAACCACTGGATCGCAAGAGGCACAGGAAGAAGAGAGAGACGCAGAGCGAGGAAGAGAGAAAAATCCCCCAGCGAGCGGGCGCTTCGTCTTCCACCACCACAGATGATCTCAAGGACGCAAAGTAGAAGCAGAAAAAGAAAGGAGAAAACGAGGAGGAAAAAAGAAACAAGCTGGCAGTCAAGTCTTCTGCTGCTGCTGCTGCTGCTGCTGCTGCTACTTAGGGGGCAAGGGAGAGCGGCCGAGGATGCGACCACAGGCTGCAACGCGGACGGCCGGGCGGGCTGGACAGGCTGGTTGTTTGTTAACTATTTATATGGCATAGATATCTGCCTGTGTCTACGGACGGGGGGGGTGTGTGGGCGGCTAAACTGGCTGCATGACCTGTGTTCAAATATCTAGTTGCGGGCCGCCGGTTTGGCAGCTACTTTGATATCTCGATTTTGATACCTGTCTATAGCTAGCTATAGTTAACCAACCCAGCTAGAAAAACAGGCTATGGAAGAGCCGCAGAAGGGCCAACAGCTGGAGAGGTCAGATATATGCTCCGTACGGCTGCCCAAGGTGAGGCAACGGCGGTCTATCTGCGCATGAAATAAACGTATAGACGCCTGATTCCCCGTTGCTTTTCTCTCGCCCTTCGAGTTACCCCAGACGATCAAGCCTATTCTCTCGAGAGACGCAGGCCCAATGGCAGGCGGCAGTCGATATGTACGACGACGTTATAGCCGTCCAATCCTAGCCCCGGCGGGCTTCCCGCTGGTGTTTAATGTGCCTCGTAGACGTTGTGAGCTGCAGGTCTCCTGCATCGGCGGCCTGCCGCGAATAGGAGTCTCGTATAGATGATCTCTCCTGCTTGACGCTGATGAGGGCGAAAAACTAAACAGCTAGTTGATCAATCCGCAGGTGGTTAAAACGTACACCTTTTCCTTGTAGGCCATGTTACCTTTCTCTACCACACTTTTTGTGGCTGGTCTCATCTCGCAGTTCAAGAGGCGCCTACAAGACCCGGTATCGAGCGGAGAGCGTCGCACTGGTTGAATCCTCGTCCTCCAGCTCTACCAGGATACTTGACGCCGAGCACGCATCTCTTCGGCAGTCGGGCCTAAACGAGAATATCTCTATCTAGCACTTGTGACCAGCGTCGTCAAAACCGATATATGACATCCAGAACGGCGCTGTCGGCAGCTCATATGATTAATAGCACCCGCGGGTAAGGCCAGAGGGGCCGACCCCAAGACGAAGATCTTGTCCTTCCATGTGGATGTTGCGTTGGGGAGGGTTGGATGGTACAACATCAACTGCAAGGCTTCGACTGCATGGGCTTGTGCGAATGACTGGAGAAGTGTGCTGGCCTGGAGGTAATCTGTGAAGAATGTGTTCAGGTATCCAGTAACAGGAAAAGGGGAATGCGTTGATCAAAAAAATCCAGATACTAGCCGCGAGATACCATGTCGCAGAAAGGAACGTCTATATAGTAGCAGAAGTCTACTTCCGCTGTCAATAAGGGGTCATATAAGCTTGCCAGACGACATGCTCCAGGGACCTTGACTCTGAGACACCGCTGCGTGTTGTAGACTTATAGACCTCGTTAGAGCTCGTGGTCTGCCAAATGCGAGTTTATTCCCATCTCTGCATTCATGTATAAGCTGGTATCGTAAGTTGTCATGTCCATCCATGTCACCCAACGTGTAGTTGAATACGAATACACCGTCTCCCGCAAGAGTCTTTAATGCAAGGTACTGGTATCACCACACTGGCTCTGCTTCCAGAGAATCAGTATTTGACAAATCATGTTCCCTTTTAAACACAATACTGCGGGTTATGGGTAGTAAACCGTTACTAGAGCAGGCACAAACATTGCCATGAATTCCTGGGTGTGAAATCGAGGACGGCGGAAAGCCATAATTTTGAGCCGTCTCGTCGATGCCTTTGATATTATGGCTGTCATCATCGTGGCCTGTCAATGATATCAGCTTGGAGGATTCTCAACTGATAGCAGCAACTTGCGGTAGGGAGCCGATGTTCATTTTGTCAAGAGCAAGCTCTCGGTGCTGGCTCGCGAACGGTTAAGAAGCCGGGGCTGGGTCTATCCGTCCAATTCAGGGACTGAAGCAACCGAAACCGGGTCAAAATAGGTATACCTCTATACCTTTGGGTACTCCTGGATACAGCCCACCGCGATGCCTATTTGTTAGTTGTATTCACCACGCCCATCCGCGTTGCCTGTCCACCAAGCTCAGCTGAGGCAGGGTATAAATGCTGGCTCTAGCCATCTCGGCGTATAGCACACAAGCCCATCCACATAGAATGGGACGGCGAGGACTCCGATGGGTTGTTGTCTCCCCTTTGCTGAATGTTGTAGTTGGCGTGTAGTTAACTAGTTGAAGCCGCCAAACGCTGAAGTCGCCAAAAAGCAACGTCCAAAAAGTATTTCAACCAAATGCGACAACTAATTATCTACGAAGTACACCAACCACAACTAACTCGGCCACCACGTAGTCGACAAACTGCACCATGGCCAAAGACAAGGAACGCACTGTCAATCCCGCGCAGGCTCAACGGAAGCTTGAGAAGCAAAAGGCACTCAAAAAGGGCAAGGCGGAGGCGCTGAACAGGCGCAATGAAAAGCTAGCACGGCGAAATCCATACCGCATCCAACGACAAATAGACGACCTCAAGGCAGTTGAGGAGGCTGGGAAACAGCTCAAACCACAGCAAAAGGAGATCCTTGAAGCCCTTGAGAGAGATTTGCGAGCTGTTAACAAGGCGAGGGAAGCTCTTGGAGATAAGGCACCGGTCTTTGGGCGCGGAGATGGCGGACCGCGTCGAGACAGGGACAGGGACGGAGATCAAGGTCATAACGTGCTAGGGAAGCGGAGAAGGGATGGACAGCGTGAAGGACGCAATTGGAGACAGCAGGAAAGCAGTGGCAGCGAGACAGACGAGAGCGTTCGAAGGATACCTATGCCCAGAGACACACCTCCCCCGATCCCGCGTCAATACCACCAACGGCGGCGAGGAGGACCCAACAATACCAAAGAAGGTGAAGGTGTGGCAGCTGGTGGTGAGAGAAGCGTGCACCAGCTACCTCCTAAACCTCCGGTACCAGAAGCAAAGGCAGTCTACGAATCTGCGCCCGTCCTCAGGAATCTACAAAAAGAAGCTATCAACAAGTTTGTGCCGACAACAGTAAGGATGAAACAGGCTGCTGTTAAAGGCGAAGGCCAACTCGTTGAACCTGAAGAGATGGATAAGCTGGAGAAGGCTGGGTATGTGGTCAGTGGTAGTGGCCCTGATGCTGGGCAGTTGACAGGTACTCCAAGCGCAAAGGCGGCGCCGTCTTCTCTCGAAGAAGAGGAAGAGCGGTTCAACCGTGAGATCAAGTCCGTCCAAATTGAAGAAGTTGAGGATGAAGGCAATTGAAGGGGCTCTTGAATACTCTTTTATATCTAAGAAGGGAAACCCAAATATATTAAGAGGAATCGCACCCTGACGCACATCTGCTTGGGAATACATGTAAGTCCAACTATTCTTCAGATCATCCCTTGACATCTACAGACAAGCTAACCTCGCCAATTCAAAAAGTATGCCCGGAGAATTATCAATCACGCAAACAGCAATCCCCACGCCGCAACACCTGCCCAGCCAGCGTGCAGGCCCAGAATTCCCCAGACATTAGCCAACTCATACTCGGCACCGCCGGAGAAGAAGGAACTCCAGCTAATAAGCCCTAGAGTGGCTATGTGATACAACAAGAAGCAAGACCCAACAACGCGCCCAACATGTGTTTTACGGATATGATAGTCTCGCAGGAACCATGCATTCAGCGCAAAGGGAAGAACGAGGTTGCCGCTGTTTCGGCAGAAGTATCGTGCCATTGCGCTTTCGAGGAACGGCACGCGGTTCGGGAAAAGGATCGTGGAGCCGGTGTAGAAGATATACGTGTCTGCAGCATGGAAGAGGACAGCAGAGGCGTAGAGGTATTTGATTATACTTGGCTGGGTAAGCCCGACAGTTGCTGGTGTGGAGGCCTAGGTACGAAGCAATGGTTAGTTTGAAGCAACATGTCTGGGGATATTGCCATATGCCTACCATGATGATGTCTTGATATAGCAGTCTATCAAGGCTGTCTTGATGTCAAGCGCAAGTCTGTGTCCTTGTCCTTCTATGTTGTGATTTAATGACGAACGTGGTAGTAGTAGGTAGGAGGTTGCCGCCGAAATACGAGGGAAAAACCATGTTGCGGATGAGCCTCGGCTTAAACCCCGTTCAAGTGATAGCGACAGCTACCTTCAGCAACCGACATTATTTGAACGTCAGATTTATAACATAAATACACTGTTCTATTGCCAGCGATGGTTATTCAAATCAAAGTAAACAAGCATAGAAACTATGAAACTAATACAAAACTCCCACTAGTCCAAGAAAACGCCATGCAGATGCTACTCCAACCCAAGGCCGAAATATAGGATATCAACAACAAAGGGAAAAACAAAGGAAACTTTGGTAAGGAATGACACAATACGACATATGGCCGACAATGATATCAATAAATGAAAAGGGTAAAGGAAGGCGAGGGAGCGGAGGGGTGTCTCCGGTGATATGACATCGCTCATGCCGAGCACGATATCTCAGACCCGAAGCACCAGAAAGAAAAGAAAAGGGAAAAAGGGTATTATCACCTTGCCTTGCCTTGTCCCCATGATCAAACCAACCTCTCTGGGTCTCCTATAACGAGTCTATTCCTGACATGAAAGAAAACATGCATTCGTTTAGTTCATGTTGTTGTCTTTTTTAATTCTTTTTTTGGTTTTTCTCTTTCATGCCAGAGACTCATCGGAAGTTGCGGATAACTTTCTTGTTTCTAACCAAAAAGGGGCTGGGCATTTCGTCTCTCTCTGGGTCCCAGGTTGCTGGAGGGTCAAGTTGGGCGACGGTGGTGGTTGCAGCTACAGGTGCAGATGCAGCAGTAGCAGGGATTTTGCTATCCCCAGGGCGCTTGAGCTCGTCAAGGGAGCGGCCACCAGCACGGGCTTGGGCTAGCTCAACGAGAGATCTTCCGCCCATGTTGCGTTGCATTATGGCCTTGAACATCTCTTCTCCGCCAGGGTTAGTGCCTGCTTTTGCTGGTGGAGGCATCATGGCTGTCTTTCGCGACGGGGAGCCTTCAAGAGCAAGGTTGTTGTAGGAAGGAATTTTGGAAATGCGGCGCTGGGGTGATTTGTTCCTAGTATCAGCCGAAGAATGGCGGCCATCAGTAGATTGGGGTGCAGCCGGGTTGGCAGTTTGAGCAGGTCGAACTGCTGTTGTCTTGGTAACCGGGAAAAGATCCGGTTGAGTGGTGAGCTTCTGCATCATGGCAGTGGTGTTTTGGCGCATCAAGGGGCGATGTGCTAGCTTGCTAGGATCGGCCTGAATCTTCGCGCGGGTTGGCGACGGAAGATCAGGGATATCGTCCTCATCATCGGAGTACATAGCAATGGCATCGTCCCACCTAGGCTTTGTACGTCCTCCATCTGCGAAAAGATTCTTCGCTGATGTCCCTGCGGTCCGGCGCGGGGATAATGACAAGGAGGCAATGCAAACCGGCGATGGCTCTGCCATCTGGACATCCATTGGGGATTCAACCGTGGTTTTAGAACGGCTAAATGGAGTACGGTTGCCTTTCTTCCCTGCATTCTTCTGTTCAGGGGTAGGAGGGTCAAGCGACAGCTCGCTCAAATCGGTGGACGAAGGGAAATCAGTATCATCACTTGATCCCATGGAAGAATGATGAGCTGAGTCGAGCTGGGAGAGGTCCACGTTATGCTTCTGTGCCATTTCTTCCTTGTACTTTTGCATTTCAGAAGCAACTCGTTGCTCAACCTCCACTTCAAAAGTCCTACGAAGCTTCTCAAGTTCCATCTGCACTTGACGGTCGATCTCCAGTCTCGCCTTGACCTCCCACTCTCGACGGACAGAGCTTTCAATAGCTGCTTTCATGGCTGCCTTTTCCTTCTCCATTTTTGCGTAACGTAATTCTAAGTCCTTCAGCTTCTGTGCAGCAGCCTCCTCTTTGCTTGTGAGAGATTTGCTTATCTCAACTACCTCCTGTTCCTTTCTCATCAGGCGTATCACGGGCAGTTTGAGCAAGGCCGCTGTATCTGGACGGTGGTCAGGGTTAACCCTCAGACAGCTGGCAATGACGCTTCTCAGCTCGCTGGAATAGACGTCTGGCAGAGGCGCAAATTTCCCATCACGGATTTTCTGAACTAGCTGAACATGCGTACGGGCGTTAAATGGTGGCTCTTTCTTGCATAGTTCGTACATAATGCAGCCAACGGACCAGATGTCCGAGTATAAGGTGTATCTCTCGCCTGCGGAGATCTCGGGAGACATGTAAAACGGTGTTCCCACGTACGTCGAAGCAAAGTCATGAGACCCCATTTGCTTGGACAGGCCAAAGTCGCCCAGCTTGACAGATTTATCCTCTCCCAAAAAGACTAGATAGAGAGAAGTTAGCAAACATAACCTGTATATCAGATCGAGTTTGTATTTCCACAAATAACGTACTGTTTTCTGGCTTGAGGTCTCGGTGAAGGATCATGACCTGGGCCTGTTTTCCTTTGAGCCCTGACGATTTTGGTGTTGGCCCAAGCACATTGGAACCAGCTTCAGGGGGATCAACTCCATAATGGCAACGGTACAGAGCGGTTGCCAGCTGGGAGAACACACGCCAGACGTATTCCTCCTCAGCAAAGGTACCGGCCAGCTTATGGTTCTTAATCACACGGCTAAGATCTCCACCCCCGCAGTATTCCATGTATAGGTATAGGTCCTGTGTCGCCTTGAGGTGTTCGCGGTGGTAGTATGCCACGATGTTGGGGTGTCGGAGTGAACTCAGGACGTTGAACTCAGTGGTGAGCTGTTCACGCTCCTTATGGGACATCTTGAGATAGTTAATCTCCTTTCGGCAGAGAATCTATAGAGACTGTCAGCATAACCAAATCCTTGTAGTTTGCTGGCAAGGAAGTGACATACGAATCCATCTGCCTTTCTCCTAACCTTCCGAATCACACCAAAAGAACCACTTCCTATAGACGGAATATTAGTCCATACAGCCATGCATATTGATACCATTAGGGCTGTTCCTACCTATTCGCTCAAGGAGCTCATATTTGTCTGCTTCTGCCAGAGCGATAGCCATGATTAACCTGGAGGTATAGATATCAAAGTCAAGGAGATGTGTATCAACACATAGAGAGTAAAAGATGAACGAAAGGACAACCTGTTTATGTTAGTAACGGCGCCGGAAGCCTCGAGGAATGGCGACGGCCTGCAAGCTGGACAGTTGGTGTGCAATAGGAGAAAAAGAAGTTATCTTTCTCTCTCCTCGCACCTTTTTCAAATGTTTTGGTTGCGATCTCGTTGCGCAGCAACCAGGGCGATTATTGCTTAGTAAGAGGATTAGTCAGGTAATGAGTAATAGAGTTGGTCACGGGAGATCGAAACTAGCGCCTGAAGAGGACTAGCGGGCTGCGGGTAAAGCGGTATGGGTTGGAGTCCACTCTTATTGGTCGATCGGAGATACCTTAGAGCCGCCCGTTATCGATAAGCTTTCTGCCACTTCGACCTCAGCTTTCTTTTTCGGCGTTTCAACACGGAGATTGCTTCGACGGCGAGATCTTGTCCATAGCAGAAGCCAGAGGCAGTGGCGGGCAGACGGCTCCCTCTCTTTTCTTGTTTTGCTTGTGAAGAGCGCAACGATGTCGGAGTCACAAGTTTTGAGGAAGGACCAGTTGGAAACCAGCCTGTTCAACGAGCGAAAATTGATCGGTGCAGGAGAGCTCAAGGAAGACAACCCGTTGGACCTCAGTGAACCGTTTCGAGAGCTCTGCGAAGCATGTCGAAGAGGCGATCTTAAGGCATGTCAGGAGAAGATAACTGAGGGGGTGAACATTAACGGTAGAGATTTATTTGACTGCACTCCCTTGATACTTGTGAGTGAATCTCCTCCCTTCATCCTTCCACCCTGCCGGGGGTCCTCGACAACCGGTAGCGTATGTTCCTTGTCAATGTTTTCAGCTAGGCTGGAGAGTGGAATAAATTCCTTCACATTTGCTCCCTGGTCACGTCAAATATGATTTGCTTTTATAATGAGAACTGAAAGAGTGACAATTCTGTTTCTTTCTTCCTTGGAAAAGGCTAGTCTTTGTGGCCACTACGAAGTTGTACAACTTCTCCTTGATTCTGGTGCTTTATGCGAACGAGACACTTTTCAAGGCGAAAGGTGTGCCTATTCCCTTATTCTCTTTCCTGCAATTTCCACCCCCTAGGAGAAAGATGACATGAAAGGTGCAACTTTTATACTCACACCTCTTTGACCTTTGTTGGTAGATGTCTCTACAATGCATTAAACTCGAAGATACGAAACCTGCTCCTTGAATATGATTATTCAAAATCAACGGACCCTCTCCAACCTTTCGCATCTCACATAACGTCGTTGCTAAGCAGAGACCACCCTCAAACGTCGGATATCGCAGTCACAGCAGGAGACGAGACTTTCCACCTCCACAAGTTTATATTGTCTGCACGGTCACCATATTTCCATAAGAAGCTTTCCGCCGCTCCGGAAGCAACTTCATGGAAATTGCCAAGTACAATACCACCTCCAGCATTTAGTGCAGGGATCAGATACTTGTATCTGGGCGATGCTCCACGAGATTTGAGATCTGGACCAGGGGCTGGTCTCTATTCAGAGACAGAAGTATTTGAAGGAATAGACAGAATTGCCAACCACCTAGAACTTCGCGGCCTAGTTGATACCATACTGGACAGTGGTGATAGGAGATTAACCCGGCAAAGGAGGTCAGACGAAGTCAGCAAGGGTCGAAATCAGATGGAAGCATGGTTTCGAGAAAATATCATCAAACACAAAGTGGTGATTGACACGGAGAAAGCAAATGAGGTTAAATGGTCGCGGGATAACAGTATCTTCGCTGATGTTCTCCTTCGAGCTGACGAAGATGACAGCGAAAATGAAGAGTCGCAAGAAATCAAAAAGTGTGAAAATGGAGGTCTTGAGGACGCCGGCAGTGGTATACCCATTGGAGGCTTCTCACGGCTATCGCTGGATACCTCCATTAAGAAACCAAAAAGAAAATCAGTTCTTTTTCCAGCCCATCGAGCGATGCTTCTACGTTCGGAGTTTTTCTCACTCATGTTTTCTTCAAGCTTCCGTGAGGCTCAAGTTACGGACTATTTACAAATAATACCAATCGACTGTTCACCAGACGTGTTGGAGATAGTTCTCACTTTCTTATATACAGAAAAAGCGGACTTCCCTCTTGAAGTTGCAGTTGATGTTCTGTTCGCTGCGGATCTGTTACTGATCGAACGGCTAAAAACAAAGGCAGCCGTCCTCATTAGCACATTGGGAAGCGGAAATGTCACATCTCTGGGTTCAAAGCCATCAGCGGATGCAAAAGAATCATCAACGAAAGAAGGGAAAGAAGCAGAAGGAAGCGACGAAATAATCGATGTCTATGAAATCCTCCGTGCAGCTTGGCTGATGCGCATACAACGACTTGAGGAGTTCGCCGCCCGATACTTCGCTTACAGGCTAGAGGCGCATATCGACAACCCTGAGTTCGCACAGCTAGTGAAGGAATCAGCCGAGCGTATCCAAAAACGACAAGAAACAGATTCCATCGAGCTGGTAGATGACATCCGCTACTATCTCTCCGAACGGTTCAGACTACGTTTCGAGGATTCTGGTATAGATATCTTGAACTCCGAGGACAATCCAAACGAAGGCGACCCGGCGGAAAACACCAACACATCTTCAAACACTTCCCCTGAAACAACTAGCAACGGGAATGCCATATCGCCCACCCCTTTGTCGCCTCCGCCTTCGTCGTTTAATAAAAAGCCTAGTAATGTTGACTCTGCTAGGGAACAGCAAGGAGACTCAAACAACATCGTCAATGCAGGACCTCCGAAGACCAATGGAAATAGTGAGCAAATTCATACAAGCGGTGTCATTCGGACTTTAGATGGCCGGGAAGCTGGAGATGAATTCTCTAGAGATGCTATTGATTATGAGCTTCTCCTGAACAAATTGGACCAGCTACTTGAAAAACTAGGCCTGGATGCCTAATCATCCAGCCTCATATATATTCTTACACTTTTTTGGCAAGCCTGCCTGCTTATATATATATACACCTAAATATTGGATATATCTTTTTGACAATTTACGAATGCAAATGGGGTCAAGTAACAGCGGCTGTTGTCTGATATTCAATTAAGCCAGCATTTGATTGGAGTTCAAAAATATTATCATGTATTTTTATTAATAATGATAACCACACAGAAGTGAACGATCTTGGCCTAGTCTGGTTAAATAAGAATCTAAAGCTTAGAATAAGATGCGCCCTCCGCTTCTCTGTCCTCTAGAGGGGTTATAAACTCCGTAAGAGGTTCCAGATCAGACCTCGCAGTCTCAAAGGTATCGGTGAGGCACAAGCTGTCACCTTGGCTGTGTTCTGGCCTGCTTGTCGATCGAGAAAGAACTGTTTCCAAGGATGTAATTCTGCAGAGTCTACCCTGGCGGGGTTCAGAAGCCATACTATTTTGTCCAAGGGAGTCTGCTCTTTGAAGGCCTGAAGCACCCAAGTCCATAGTCGAGGGGGTAGTGAATGGATCAGAGGAGTCGGTGTCTCTAAAGCCTAAGATAGCAGAATCCGCAGTAGTAGGTGTAAACGGATCCAGAGGAAACGGAGGTGTATAGGTGCGGCGAGATACCCGTAGTGAAGAAGTGGGCGTGGATGGGTTTCGATGATAGGGTGTTGGGCTCTCATCTATAATTTTTGGGCATCTCCGAACAGAGTGAACTTTGAAACTTGCTTGTCTTGGAGTTGGTGACATTGATCCAGGAGTGGAATAGAGTGCTCCTGGGTGGTAACCGACTCCTCTGTTCACATGCCCCAAGTATCTCATTCGTATTGGGTGGGAGCCAAGTTGATCGGCTGGGATTCTTCGATTTCTGGTGAGGGAAATATAACTAGTTATGATGCCGCTTAGCATCGAAATCACTAGGAGGAGAACAAGGGTGCTATGAATGATGGCTATTGCCATCCCAATAGCAAAAGCAGCCATTCTATTTAGGTTATGTTGAGCCAATAATGGAATGGACAGTAGGGCCGATGAGATGTTGCTAAACGATAGCGTGTATAGAACAATGCTCAATCGTTTAGCCTCGAAGGGACTCATGGCGATAACGCAAATCATAAAGGTAATCTCGAGAATTAACAACCCAACAGTCTGGGATATCGGATTTGCGACTGCTCCTCCGAGGAAGCATGCACGAAGGAACTCATGCATCAACCATATCACACAAAAGTGCCATCTATCGTCCTTGAAGCGAGCCAGTAACCAGCCAAATCGCAATAGAAATTTAGATTCATTTGAACCAGTATCATGGACACAGGACTTCCACCACGGATAGTTTTGTGGAACTGTTGTAGAGGACTCTTTTGATACCGTACTGCCCTTTGTTTTAAGTACAAACCAGGGGATAATGTTTAACAAGTTCCTCCTTTCGAAAACGAGTGGCATTATCTCTGGTACGGACGTGAAATGAGCATTGCGATAAGATATAGCATACGCCGTAATTGAGATTGATCCAAGAATGAGTACGAGGAATGTAATCGCTGCCAATGCTTTAACTGAGGCTGCGCCCCCAAAGCCGAATTGGAAGAGTGCAAGGAAACTCAGCATCCCAAATCCGATAAACAAGGACCGGAGTAGCATAGCCAGGACAAACTCTGGCCAATGTATTCGAAAATATGCTAATTTTTGCGCCTGTCTTCCTTTAATGAGCTTCCAATGGATAAGTGACTCTATCACCACTTTGACCACAGGTATCACTGCGGTCAGAGTAGCGATTAGCAATAGGACCCAGAGTAGTCCAGTAGTGAAAGCATTCACTGCTGGAATTTTCTGCATGGAGAGGGTCCCAGCGAAGCCAGAATAGTTCCCTGGCAATGGAAACCCATCATTGACAAGCTGGCCTTGCCATTGGAACGTCGATGGCAAGGAAACTGAGGAGGCAGAAGCATGATAATCTTGTTCATCCATGGGGGCCCCTAAGCCAGTTCTGAAGGGTCCAAAAGTCCTATTGGATGGCGGTGTGTTGTATATGTTTGTAATATTGTAACCGCCGAGGCGAGGGGAAACGTTTCCAACAGGATTTGCTCCAAGAATACGTATATCTCCTTTATCTGCTCCAACCAACCTATCTATTGAGCTCTGCATCGACTTGGAGTAAATCATCCCGGCAAAGGGTGCAAAATTCGACCAAAATTCGACTAACACTCGAGGCCAATTTGCAGAAATAGCACCAGTGAAATAAATGTGGTGCAGAACAGTAAAAGCCAAGAGTAAAGACGAAGAATGGGAATAATGGAGTTGCATAGTCATGATGTCTTCGCCATAGATAATGGTTGCAAGGCTGAGGATGAATGTGATAAATATTACCAGAGCCAGGAGAGATCCCACGGCTTGTGGATGTGACATTGTAACGCCGTTTGTCACTGTTGAAGCGTAGCAGGCTATTTGAGATCGTGTGGAGTTGGATAAAATCCGTATTACTGCTCGGCCCTCCAAGTCAGGTAATCGTAAGGTCGTCCGTGAGATTTCTGAAATGTCGGTAGGAGCAACTTGCAACAGGCCACCATCTCCTATATGACGCGAAGCATCCATGGGACAGAGACTATTCAACCCGTAGTCATGATAAGTAAAATGTGCGATGGGCTCAGAAGGGAATAGTTATATGCTTACTTCCTAATATTTGCTTCACAGGGATCAAATATCAGATCGAATCTTCTTTTCCCATACGCAAAAAACCCGATGTATACTGGAGGAGAAATTAGATGCCATGCTCCAAATATTTAGGGGTTAATATATTTATAGGGGCAAGTCGTACCCATAATGGATTCATTTCTAAGAGACGTATGGCCGTCCAAGTGAAAACCCACCATCAGATCATCATGGTAGTAAGCAGCATGAAATTGAGTTAATTTCACCATTGAATTGGCCATACAATCTCCAAAATCTCCCGTGTAGAGTGGCGGCACCCTTTTGCCGGCGATATGCGCAGTTCTCAGCCGTGACCATTGGTTCTGCTGTTGCCCATCGTTGTCAACTACCTGCGAAGCAGCCTGGGAGCATGAAAGAAGTAAACAGAGTAGAACTATGGTTTTCCATGGCATGCATAGTAAAAGAATCTCCATATTTGATGGCATAGCCGGATAGCTGCGAAGAGAGGAAGTTGGTCGAGAGAGGGATGCCGACAGAAAGCCCTCGAGAATAGGGATCCACGATAATAGACGAGTATCAGGCCGAGCACTTCATAAATTGTTCAAGATGACCTCCGTGGGTGGCTTTCTGAGCTCTCCGGTAATATGTCACACAGGGTGTCAAGGGCATCATGACGGCAAATCTGGGTATCAAAAGGCTGAGGATAGAAACAAATAGTCTTTCCTTCCTCGGTTGAAGGTGAGGAAGGTAGAATGGACTCCATCGCCGTTTCATGTTTTCAAGGCAAGCTTCGAAGCAAAGGAGAGAGCTAGAAAGCCATGTAGATAATATATGCCCCATTTCTTGGTAGACATTGTTAATTCCCACAGAACGCCCTATAAATAGCATGCCACAAGTAGAATAAACCATGGAGCCTTGCAACACAGGTTAGGAAGCCTCCCGAGCAATCAGGTAACAGCATCGCTCATGTATGTATGGAATTGTGCGCCTAATCCGAGGCATATACTCCGTACTTTGTGTGTCACTTCGTCTTTCAATATAATAATGCAAGATCTTCACGGAGACGATGTTGTTTATATTGGCAGTCCAAGCAAATCAACAGAGTTGCGACTAGTGAACCTAACTTAATCAACTTGTTAGGTTAAATTTGAGCAGTGTGCATTATGATTGGCTGGCAGTCCTCAACCCCTAAAATAAACCAATGAAATCAACTTGTTGGCTGAACCCCTATTCTGACTCGAACAAGATCTCTCGACCCATCTGACTACTCATATCTTCCTCTGGATGAAGAGGCCTTATCATTCAATATTTTTGGATAACCGCATAGGAGTTGTCACTCACCTTCAGAAAACAGGCCAGTGAGCCTGAAAAACCGGGCTTTCTCCTCTCCAGACTCTCCTTCATTCAGAAACAGCCGGAGAAAGACAAGACCACTTCTAAAATACCAGGAAGATGTATAACTAATGCAGACTTCCTGCTAGGATAACCGGCAGGTCAGAAGCATAGCAAGCCGGCATTAGAAGACGAAGACCTCGATATAGCGGATCCAGCATACGACTACTGTGCAGATCCATCTAGTTAGCGACTTTCAATGCATCCGCTGCCGCTGCCGCCAGGGACAACGTAAACTGGTCAATGACCTAGACATAGTACTAATAACCTGGCTTATATGTAAAATTTTTATCTTACATGCCGAACGGCTTCTTATACAACAGACTTAAGCTATCTATGTAGTAAACTAGAAGTTAGGTTCTTAATCTGGAGTATGAATTTCACTATTAAAGCACCATTTCGGTCCAATATGATATAACATACCCATTAATTAGAATTAGATATGGTAGTATATCATGTCTAGAGAGATGTGGTCCATTACCACTCCATCAATTTGGATATATTTTATCTATGGGTCATTACAGTAAGCCTTCCTTACCGTCCTTAACAGTGAGATTTCTAAGACGTAGCTATCACCAAAATATGTGCGGAACTTCATCATGATCGTATGTACTCCTGGGAGATCTCTAGCTGTTAGTTTTTTCAATCTGGTGAGGTTGCCCATCTCTTATACAATTCGGGAATTAGGTGGTCAGCATAATTCCATGTACCTGGTTTCTCCCATTCTATGGTGACGAAAGTCATCGCACGGTCCAACCAGTGCTTGTTGGGTGGAAGCGAGGCCATGAGAGCAGCATTCTCCGCTGGTGATCGCATATCCAGCTTGATCTTATACAGCTCTGCTAATTCGATTTCATGTAACCACCCCAGTGCAGCGTCGGACCACGAACTATCCGCACATATATACCTGTAGCGTAGTACCGAAGAACTCGGCAAGTACATATGCCGCATGCGCATTGCATATTCTGCCTGTGCTTCGTTTGCTAAGACACGTTATTGACAATATTCAATCAGTTCATCCGGACGTTTCGGTTTTTCCGGGTGTCTTTCACTCAGGTTAACAATTAGGGAATCGCCGCCGATAATTCGAGCCGTCGACGTCTCCATATGGCGTTGAGGGACGATATGCTAGAATCCGCTAGGTTTATGTGGCCACAAAACATTTCCGAAAAACAAGCCTAGGTGTTAGTATGTAGCAAGAAGCTTACCAAAGGTATCTATGCTTTATTCCAGGTTATAATGTTAAGACATGCCGTGGTATATGAGTCATGAAGTAAATCGCAGACTGGTATATCATCGACGACTATAAAGTTCACAATCTCTGGATTACCGTTGCTGCGACGTTTGAACGATTTAGACTGCTAACGCAAACTCAATGGCATACAAGTTAGTAAAGGTTTTTAGCAAGATCAGCATATAGGGGCAGGGAGCTTCACATGTAAGAATGGATGACAAGATCTACATGGATAGTATTTCTCTGTAGACCGGATATACCTCAAGAAGCCATCGTAGACTGTTGTGCATTGAGAAAGTGGTTAAGAGCAAAGGCTCCCGAGACGAAGGCGTCCCATTTCCCTAGTTGCGATCGAAATTCCACTGGGTCACTGATAGAGACCTTCAAGTGTTGATCAATTCTTCTTTCCAGAATATATGTAACCTCAAGGGAATGCATTGCATGTTGACTTGAGAGAATGAAGATCATGCGCATCAGGATGGGAGCAAATCTCCTCTAAAAGCTCAAATGACAGCCGGGAATTCCACATCGAAGTTCCCATATTTCCGACAGGAAGAGACGAAGGATGACCAAGGCCAGTCATCTTTTCCGATCTCTACCCAGAAGTTTGACGACAGAAATGCAGCGTCGACGGGTATCAATGCTTGCTACTCTGATATCGTGGAAGTCCTCTGCTAGGCGTTTTCAATGAATGATATAGATATAGATCAGAGGGCCGCCTAATAGAAAGAGGCAGGATATTCGGAGGCCGTCCTTTTAGAAAGTAGCAGGCGACTTCGCGAGTATCAACATAATGATGATGAAGCCACTTTTCAGCACAAGTTGATTGCACTTTGTTTGATTTTGAGTTGCTAGTTAGGGGAACTAACTAGTTAGTTATAGCATCAATTATTTGAGAGTACTAATTGGCTAATTCCAGGTATTGAGTGGTTAGCCAGGCGAGAATGTGGTTTAGGTACTCTGTACCTCGTGGTTATTTAACTACTTGGCTCTGATATCCAGCTTCTGCAGTGAGATACATAGTTCTCGAAGGCAAGTCGACTTGGAATGGCTAGCTAGTTACCACGGCCCTCTGTATCTTGTGCTAGAGCCGCATCAACAAAATAAAAATAAAAAAAAATTAAAATAAAAATAAAAAAATCTCCAACTTGTGATTATCTGGTGATAAAAGAGCTGAGTTGGATGTTGAAGATATTCCAATGTCCAGGCAAAAAAGCTTGAGGGGCTTCATCCTGTAGGCGGTGTCCACGTGACTACCCCGACTGGGACAAGGAACTCCAGGCCATCGATTTCAAGAAATATAGATATATACGTCGCTTCAAGGCAGTTATCCGACCCTAGAGGCAACACAGGGCGCTTCTTGTCACAGGATGCAAAGATAAAGGCATCTCAGCTCTCCCAGGTCAGTGTGGGATAGCAAGTTACCATGATATCACGTTTGGTTAGGCGGCTGAACATGGAGATACCTGCTCGGAGCATCGTCTTATATAAGACCAAGATCCCAGTTTCAGACGACTTCAATTACACTAAGCCTTGTGGAAGCACATCATGGACCCTCGTCCACGTGTTGAAACAAGAATGATGATATTTCATGCGGAGAAACGGTGATGACAGCAGAGGGGGGGAGCGACATTCTGCAAGTGTGAACCGAGAACGTGAAGGGAAGAGATGAGTAAAGATGAGATGGAACTTGGATTTGCATGGCTGAGAGTGACCGCATGTGAAGATCACCACTCATTAAGGGAGATTTCCTGATCGCGTCATCGCGAAATAAGGACATGGTTGTCAGGGCACCCTGGAAAGAGAGAGGTTGAGTCTACCTGGTAGGAGGCCGGCGACTCGGCCAATTGACGACAAAAACGCCTTCGGGGTCGGAAGCAACCTCCATTCCATACAACGACCTCGCATTGAACAAGGATGAAATAAGAAACAAAAAAGGCGTGATAGGTTCTGTATGAAGAGGTTATATGCGGGCGAGAGATGACAATCAGCCTGAGGCGGATGCCTGTCTGTCCGTTCCAAACATATTAACGAATCCAGAATTCATTATCTAACTAGTTACCGAATCTCACAGAACATGAAAAAAGGAAGAGGCAAGATGAGGAGAAACGCAATCATTCAATATCCTCCT